AAGGCTTTGCCTGAAAACATCATATTTAAGAATGTGCATAAAATATCTGGCTTCAAGAGTTCTTAGCCTTATTGTGAGTAAAACCTGTTACTTCCTAGCAGGCCCAAGAATCTTAAGACCGTAAGTGAAGTCTAAAGTCTGTCTCTCTTTGACCGCATAGCCTTAAGAGATTTTTAAATCTGAAATTCCTATATGACCAATGTAGGAAAGAAAAAATTTCTTAAAAAAACTACAATACACCTGTTGTTATCCACATGTACACTCAACTGTTTCCTGAATTCTCCTAGTTTCCTCAATTCTCCTAGTTTCCTCCAGGATTGGGCTACAATACTCCAACTAAAAACAAAAGCTGTTCTGCTCCTAAAGCCCTATATTCAAATTTTCAGAAACAAGTTTCATGCCTGATATATGAGCCACACAACATCATGACCAGGGACATTCAAACATAATCAGGAGAAGCTGATGTTTTTGTGAAAGCAGTAGACAGCTTTTCCTATGACAGTAGAACCACATCATAGTAAGACTTTTACCCCCACTTAATGCTACTTTTTTCACTTGACAGAATAATGGTGTAATTGAAATTTCATAATCAATAGCTTCTGCCAGTAACTTAACAGAATCTAACTCAAGAAATCCTTTAGTATCCATTGGTCAAAAAAGAAAGTATCTGTGCTATTGCTAGTACTATATACTGTACCTACATAAATACCTCTGATAAAGTTCAGACCCATGTATATAAAATAAGAAAACAGGTCACATGATTATAAAAGATCTCACCTAATTCCCTACAGTCACTGATCTATTCAATTAGTTGTCTTTAGGTTCATGGCTAGGTTCAAGCCTAGGTTCATGGCTCAAAACCATTATGCAAATTGGAATTGTCATATTAACTACTAACTTTGTATCGGTTATTTGTTAAATGTCTGTAGAAGTATCACACCTAACAATAATGCTGGCGCAGCATTTTGAGATAACAAAAGACTATGCAAGAGACAAAAATCAAACTTAATAATGGAATCCAGGTAGACACAGCCTGAGAGTCATTCCCTTCAAATGTCCCTTCTTGCTCAACTGTGGCTTAAAAGAGTTTTGACACGGACTCCTAGTCACTAATCATTTTCCCCAACATGGGATGAGACTAGCAACCAGGATAAGTCTATCCTGGTATTATGGGATGTCAAAACCCAACTACATGATGACTGATCAGATAAAAGATATTGATCAAAAGAGAAAAATATGAAAGTTGTTAAAATAAAGATGGAGTCACTAATGTTAAGAAAACCCTGACAAACAGAGTTGAGGAAGTCCATGAAGAGAAGGTTCTCAGGCTTCTATGCCTGGTAACAAAAAAGACTATAAAAAAAACACAACTTTGCACAAAGTCCATCACAACCTTATACAAAAAATATTTTTGCTGCTAGGACATCTGCTCGAGCCTGTCCAATGTCAGACTGGCATCACCCTTGTTACTGATCGTTGTAGTCAAGGATTATTTCAAAACAATTATGTAATCCTCCTCACTCTTTCTT